TCTGGGTATAGGTTTCCGATACCACAATACTACAATAAGAAATCGTAATGACTTTTTCTTTATAATTCTTTAATATTTACTGCAGTACTGCCAAATTGACCGACGACAATAATGGTTATGATATCATCAGCGTAAATATAAACTTTTAGGAGTACCAAACCTAGATATAATGGTGGGGTGCAGCCAATAAACATTGATATACGGTCTTAGGTTTATACGCAGTACATACTTAAGTTATGCCACAGGCAATTTTATTTAGTAATAGCATCCAATTTAGTTTATATTGTATCCAATTCTGATATTCATATTCAATGAATGATTTGAGAAATTGCCCATGTTATCATATTAAAATGTATGATTGTTTATTACGAAATAATAAAATTGAATAGTTTAAACATTATGACAAATCGGAAATTCGGGGTATTTTGTCCATTGTGCTCTCTTTGGGATCTGTGTCACAAATAAAAATCCAAATAAAAATGCATGCATATCAATTTGAACTTTTAAGTAATGTATCACGCATCCACTTATTTTTCGCGAGTAATACAAACCCTAGAAAGGAAACAGCCAATCAGCGAGTTCAATTTTTAATGATCCTGACATAGAATCCAAACAAGTGAGAAAGAAAAAAAAAAAAAGCAAAGAAAAACGAAACTACTCAAAAACTAATGTTTAAACTGACCTTGATATACCAATTAAAGATGTCTGGAACAAAATTTTACATATAGGAGGTGACACTTTATTCTTATATCCCCCCTAAACTAACGCCTAACCTTAAATTTCTACACGTATATTCACACTCAGTTTCCTTTTTTGGATTTATATTACTCCGAAAATAAGTAAATTCAATGTGCCACATGCATGATGTGCTACATAAAAACAGGACCCTTGTTCATACGTTATCTCGAAAACCTATTTATTCTCGGACCATTTTTTCTGTCATTTCCTTTAAATACAGTACTTTTATTAAATGCTCATTCGTTCATGCCTGAATCTTTATATCAGGATAAACAACATCTCGGTGCATTACAACTGTAACCCGAAATTTTTCAGAAATATCACAAATATCTAATAATATCTATGTAACCTTCGCTTTTACTGTTTCGAAATGGTTAAGCGTACAAAATATCGTGTCTATGGAAAAACTAGTCCGTGCGAGTTCAACATTTAATATATTTGACCGACATTTAAGATTATCCGCAGAGAATTATTTGACGACATTTCGCAGAGAATTTGTCGGTATTCGTGCTCCGTATTTAAAAAGAATAACTAAAAGTAGATATATTATTATACAGTATTTATAGTTTCAAGAAGTCTTTTTTTGACTACCTTATTTTGTTTTATTAATCTAATGTTACACTTTTCTTTGCTTTACCTTAGCTGTA